TTTGGGTGATGAGTATTGCAACCCCCTAGATATCAGAGGAGAAAGCAGGAGGGGAATGGGCAGAGAAGACCATGCCTAGCAGAAGCAGGGCATATGGCATAAGGATATAAAATGCTGAATGACAGAGGATGAAGGTAGGCCAGGTACAGAGAGGTGGAAAGAAACTCCATACCTTTATTTGGCATTGCCGACAATCGTTCCCATCGGGTGCTGAGTGAAGACTAGCGAGGCAGGGAGATTTTACTGTATGTTGGTCCCTAATCTATGCTACTTTAGCATCAGCGTTTATAAATGAAATTCCAAGATGGGCATTAACCTATAACAGTAATTGTGGCAGCATAATGAACAGCAATTTACCTCTTAAGCCTTTTTTCTGCATTTGATTTCTGTGGGTGTCTTTGAAGTATGAAATTTCCACCGGGCTTTCTCACATCTTTAAATAATTATCGTGCAGGAGAGAGTAGCTGGTCCTTGGATGAAAGTGCAGACTTAGCTGGCAGATATAACTTCGGGGTAGTGTGCCTTGCCTGTTAATAGTTGTGATGGCCTGCTGTGTTCTCTGGGCCTTAAAGCACTTAGATGCCTAAATTGCCTTTCCGGTAAAAAGCCCTATGTAAACACGGAGGCTGTCCAAATGGCACACTACAGGGAAATATTTTTCAGTAACTTAAATAATACAAATCTGTATTGGAGGCATAATGATGTCAGTGGGATATGCCGCTTTTCAAATAGTGGTCTCAGATGGGACCTGTGGAAGTTGTCTCTTGTAAGGAATAAGGAATGCGTAATTCCTACAAGCCTAGATACATCTTGTGTGTGCATGCGGGGATGTGGGGTACATCTAATATTTGAATACTGATGCACGGTTTGCTTCAGACCAGTACTGGGAAAGTGTTTATTATTTCAAATGTGAACTATAATAACAGACCTCGAAAAAAGGTCTCCAGCTTTTGTGGACGCATGCTGAAGATCTCTCTTTAGTCTGTTTTCTCTCCCGAAGCACGTGTTGCAATTGGGGGCACAGCTGCATCTTGCGTCCTCAGGCTCAGCTGGGGACCCGTAGTGCTAGGTGCTGTACAAACACACAGCGTGTAGGAACATGTGCACTGATTTGGATCAGTTTGGAGCACGGAGGCGGAAAGGGATCTTGGTGTCATTATTGACTCCAAGATGAACATGGGCCGACAATGCGAGGTCATGGTTGGCAGGGCTAACCGGACCTTGTCGTGCATCCACAGGTGCATCTCGAGTAGAGCCAGGGAGGTGATCCTCCCCCTCTATGCGACGCTGGTCAGGCCGCAGCTGGAGTATTGTGTCCAGTTCTGTGCGCCCCATTTCAGGAGGGATGTGGACAACATGGAGAGGGTCCAGAGGAGGGCCACCCGCATGATCCGGGGACAACAGGGCAGACCCTACAGTGAGAGACTGCGGGACCTGAACCTATTCAGCCTCCACAAGAGAAGGCTGAGGGGGGACCTGGTGACCGTCTATAAACTCACTAGGGGGAACCAGAAGGGTTTGGGGGAGACGCTGTTTCCCCTAGCCCCCGCTGGCATAACAAGGAGCAATGGGCACAAGTTGATGGAGAGGAGGTACAGATTGGACATCCGAAAAAACTACTTCACAGTTAGGGCGGCTAGGAGCTGGAACCAACTTCCAAGGGAGGTGGTGCTGGCCCCTACCCTGGGGGTCTTTAAGAAGAGGCTGGATGCCTACCTGGCTGGACTCATTTGAGTCCCGTTTTTTTTGTTTAGGGTTCTTTTGTTGTTCTCCCGCCCTGGCGGGAGGTCGGGCTAGAAGATCTATTAGGTCCCTTCCGACCCTAAAACTATGAAACTATGAAACTATGGAGCATGGTTTGTGCCAATGCCGATACAAGGCTCGTCAGTGGAAAGCAAAGGGTTCCTTCAGTGGGCAGGTAAGGGATAATGCACTCCTTTGCACAGTCTTGTCCCTCGTGCAATATAATGACCATCACTAATTTTAGATGCCTAGAAATATAGGACTGGAAGGCACTTCAGGCGTCAACAAGCTGCTCCGACCTTTTTGGAGAGGGAGAGATATAAATGTTAAGAAAAGTAATAAACAGATAAATAAGTTTGTCCAGCCACCTCCTGCTCAGGGCAAGACTGTCTGAACCATCTCATTCAAGTGTGTAACTTAACTTGCTCTTGGAAACTGCCAAAGGTGAAGATTTTCCAGTCTCGCTAAGCAGCCTGGTCCAGTGTTTAATCAAACTTACAGTGAGAAGGTGCTTCCTAACATCCAAACTGCATCTCCCTTGTTGCAATTTCAATCCATTCCTTTTTGCCCTGCCTCTGTAGATTCAGATAAATAATTACCTCCCAGTAATCCAGTACCCTTTTTGGTATTTGGAGACTTGTTAAATCCCCCTCAGTCTTTTCTTCCCTAGGCTAAATAATCCCATGCCTTCCACCCTTTCATTATATAGTTCTCTGATAATTTTTGGTGCTTTCCTCTGGACACTCATTTGTCTGTGTCATTCATCAGATGTGGTGTGTAAGACTGGATATAGGAGGTTTCAAATAGCGGTCTTGATTGGGACCTGTGGAAGTTGTCTCTTGTGAGGAATGTGTCGTTCCTGCAATCTTAGAAATATCTTGTGGGGACAGGGGAAAAGCCCATCATCCCGTTGTAGAAAGAAATTGGTTTGTTTGTGCATAAGTTGCTCTTTACAAATACGTGTCAGTGGCTACTTATCTCCATATTACATGTGCAGTAGCTGTAATTATGAGCTTCCCCTCCTTTGCAATAAGGGACCTGCACCTTGCTTGGTTTTTGTCTTACTTCATTAATTATCAGAAGGTTGTTGGGTTTTTTTGTTGTTGTTGTCTCTTGCTGGCTGCATCTGAGTGTGTGCCTTGACCTCCCTGATTTTGCCCCTTCTTGTTCAGATGATACTCGTCCTAATGATGATATATATCTACATAGATTCCTGTCATCTCTATAAATGTCTAACCTGTTTTTAATCTTGTCTGGTTTGTGGCCTCAGTAACTCCTGAAGGCAGTTAGCTCCAAAGCCTAATTATGTGTGATGTCTGTTAGGTATGTGTGTCTGGCTCAATGGAAAGGAAGCTTTGCCTTCAGGTGTCTTCTCCTGTGCCTGCTCGTCCTGGAAGAGGGCTTCAACCTGCACCCTTTAGGGAAGCAGCAGGGACAATGAAAGGGCTGGGTGCAGTGTGTGGCTCTTGGGGTAAAAGAAAACCAGAGCACTGGGCTTCTGCTGGGGAAGGGAAATGCTGGGTTGCTCTGGGCATGGAGCTCCCCTGTGACTGGGAGGCCTCTAATGTTTCTGTTCCAGTTTATAGATAAGGATAACTGTAGCAGGTAGTGTCTCTGCACCTAGCAAAGTTTATCCCCTGGTTGAGAACAGTCAGAAATGGTCCTTTCATTGACAAGGGGAGACAGTGGGATTGTTCCTGCAACCCCATGCACCGGTGCAAGCTGGGGGTGACGGGCTGGGCAGCAGCTCTTCAGAAAAGGACCTGGGGGGACAGGGGTTCAAGAAGCTGAACAGGAGCCAGCAGTGTTCCCTCATTGCCAAGAAGGCTAACGGCATCCTGGGCTGCATTGGTAGGAGCATTGCTGAATAGAGGGGAAGTGATTCTTCCCCTCTATTCAGCACTGGGGAGGCCACATCTGGAGTCCTGTGTTCAATTTTGGGCCCCCACTACACAAAGAATGTGGACAAATTAGAGAGACTCCAGTGGAAGGCAGTGGGAATGGTTTGAGGGCTGGGGGATATGACTGGTGAGGAGAGGCTGAGAGAACTGGACTGATTTAGTCTGGAGAAGAGAAGACCGAGGGGGATTTGATAGCAGCCTTCAACCCCCTGCAGGGGGGCTGCAAAGAGGATGGAGGTGGACTGCTCTCGGTGGGGGCAGATGACAGGACAAGGAGCAATGGGCTTCAGTTGCAGCAAGGCAAGTTGAGGTTGGATATTAGGAAAAAATCTTCTCTGAAGGACGGTAGTTAAGCACTGGAACAGGTTACCCAGAGAGGTTTTGAAATGACCACCCTTGGAGGTTTTTAAGTCCTGGCTTGACAAACCCAGGCCTGGGATGATGTAGTTGGGGCTGGTCCTGCTTTGAGTAGGGGTTGGACTAGCTGTGACCTCCTGAGATCCTTTCAACCCTCGTTTTCTAGGATTCTCTGAGTTAAGGGAGAAGCCAGAGCATCGCTCCAGAAATGCAGAAGCACTAAAGCCCCAGATTATGTCTCAGGTGCACTGTGAGTTGTTTCGGCGCTGTTTCTGAATGGCATTAGAGAACAATAGAAGTGAAATCACAATGGCCAGATTCAAGCTCTGACTTACTGAAAAAGCTCTCTGAGCTGAAGTGATATTCTCTGCCTACCTAGTCTAGCAACTGCAGGTGTTTCTTTGAAGTCCAGACTTACTGTAGCTCTTGCTGAGGTTGTCCAGCATATAGGACTTTTCCCCTGTGTGGAGCCCTTATTCCTTGGCCCACTGTCAATAACTCATGCCATTCTCTGCAAGGCTTGCTTTTGACAGACATGACTAGAGTGAACAGCAAGACACAGATCCAGCCTCATTTTAACTCATGGGCTCTCACCTTGGTTGATTAGCAGCTTTTTCCCATGGCTGGTCACATGGGGAAGGCTAACGAGGTGTCTTATTGAGCTGAGAGGGGAGCATGTCTTGCCTTGGAGACCCAGATTGCACCAATGACATGGGAGGGGAGTTTTGGAAGGTGGGGAAACCTTTTCAAATTGTCCATCAGAGGGGAGTTTTGGAAGGTGGGGAAACCTTTTTACATTGTCCATCCCAGCCACTTCTCTCAGACTCAACCATAAAAAACACCCTCAACACGAATGCTAGTCAGCCCTCAGTGCTGAGCTACTGAAAACAGGCTCTAATCATGGAAAACGCCTGGCAACCTGAATTTTAGGTATCTCGTAGAGTGGACAATGCCATCTACCCTCATGTGCAATCCGTTTCTTTTCCACCTGTTTTCCAGCCTCTCCATCGATCAAGCTCCTGGTGGATGACCCTATCGTGGTGAACCCTGGGGAGGCCATTACGTTAGTCTGCGTGACGACGGGAGGAGAACCGGCTCCCAGCCTCACCTGGGTCAGATCCATTGGGGTCCTGCCTGAGAAAATCGTCCTGAACGGTGGGACCTTAACGATACCTGCCATCACTTCAGAAGACGCTGGCACCTATAGCTGCATAGCCAATAATAATGTGGGCAACCCCGCAAAAAAGTCCACCAACATCATTGTAAGAGGTAAGCCTGGCGTGAAAGCTCTCCGTTTTCTCCTTCGAGGGTTAAGTCACTTGGGACCTGCTGAGGCAGGGCAGCTGCCTTGCTACCTGTGTCCTACAAGGCCACATAGGTATACTGGGCAGTTATCATAGGATAATGGTTTTATAAGTATGGGATTGAAGCAATCGTGGCATGGGACCTGCTCTCTCTCCTACCTGACATGGAAATGACTTTAAGGACCTTGTCTCGGGTCTAGAAGTAGTCCCTGTGGATTCACCTTCTTCTGCCAACCTGTAGAAGGAGAAATAGCAATGTGGGGACCACTGCTATCTCTGGGTGGGCCAGATTTGCTCAACATTTCTCAGACACGCAGTCCTCTTCTGTGACGTCTTTGGCAGTGCTCTGTGGAGCAGAGACATATGACAAACTTCTCGTGCTCCTCCGAATCCTTGATGTAGGGTCTTTGCAGACATTTAGGGTCTCTGCTGACATGACATCACTGCTTGTAAGCTTGTCTTTGTGGCCCTGAGGATTGGAAATGTGTCATACTTTTTCTTAAATCCAAGACCCAGATATAATCACACGCGTGAAGATCCTGCGGCCTCTGGCATTTTAGCATTGATAGTTTAATCCAGACCTGGGATAAACATCGTTCTCCAATAAGGATGCAGGAGAGACTATATACAGAATAATTGCTGCTAGGTGAAGACAAAATCTGTCCAGTTGTTTATGGCTTTCGGTAAGGGTCTAGATTCACTACAGAGATAGTCAGAAAGGAGAGCTCCATAGGCTGGTAAGCACCAGCACTGTGAATTAATCTACCTGAACTGAATAGTTCATCTGAAACTAATTTTCTGTAATCTAATCTGCCAATGGTACTGAAACATAAACTCCCACACAGTGGGCACTCTTAATAATAACTTGTGATTAATCATACTCGGGAGAATCTGCTGTATAAGGAGTAGTGGTGTGATTATTTTATGAGAGCCATAACCTCTGTGCACTCCTATTGCCCAACATATTATACTTTTCAGTAGGAAGATGAATTAGTGTCTGTTTCTGGGAGGGCGGTCAGTGAGACAGCATAGCATCAGGCCAAGTCTGTAGGAGTTTCTCAGCCTCTTGCAACAGCTTTATTTGTAATATTATCTTTCTATTTGAAGTTCTCAACGTTTGGCTGAAAGGGTTTATTACCGAGGTGCAATGCCACTGTGTTATTTCAAGAATGCAGCATCAACATTAATTCACAGTGATTTAAAGCAGCAATAAGATTGGGTGAAGGAGGGTGGGTGTGAAATGCAGATTTGCTATAAATAAGGAGAAAGAAAAGACTTCGCATGCAAACAAATGTTGGTATTTTAACTGACCCAACAGAAGGCACCTTTAAGCCCAGAAGAGGAAAATGAGTTCATGGCTCCCCTCAGAAACAAATTTCATGAGTCATAACATCATCATATTAATATGCATATGTCTTTTTTTTTTATTATTTCTAGAAGCCCATGACTTTGAGGTTCTGGATGCCTAGCAAAATATTTTAAACCTATCTGAGCTTTCTTTAAAAAAAATGTGATGGCTCAAGTAATTCTTCACACAGTGAGGTGAGGAAAGAAATAGAAAGCACCACAGACAACCGCAGAGAGGACACAGCTGACTTTCAAGCTTGGTACATTGCTAACTCTGTGTGATGGAAGCAGGGTGTGTATGTGTGTGTGCATGTGCACATATGTGCATGGGTGTGTGCGTGTGAACGAGAGAGAGGTGTCCAGTTCTCCCAAATTTCCGTTAAACGGAAAGAGCTAGCTTAGAAAAAAATACCACCTGTCTATCAGCATTTGAGTTGCCTTTGCTACATGTTACATCTGAGATGAATGCTGTTGAAATAGTGGTGGGGGGAAGGAGGGGGTAACATTTCTGGGGTTTTTTGTTTTGTTTTTGTGGGCCTTTCATAGTCCTTTGCATATTATCAGTCTCATGGCTTCCCCTGTGCATTCGTTCTTTCTTTTTGTTTGCTGGGATTTTCCATGCAACAACTGAAGACAGTAAGCATTTACAGAGAACACGAAAACCTGAAAGTTAAACCACAGGGTGTCAGGGACAGGTGTTGGACCTCAAACTAATTTCAAAACTAACCAGGTTTCTATATGGTTTCCTTGATCCCATGTCCTTACTCTCTGTGCTTAGTGATGGTACTGTATTTACACAAATACATGATGAGGTCCCTCCCTCCCCCTGCTTGGCAGAGAGAAAAAAAGTCCCTCATCTTATTATCACATACAAGGGATTCTCACTAACTACAGTGTCTATCATCAAACTGCTGGCAAAAGCAGCATGTGTTCAGCAACAGAAACCAATTACGAAGTTGATTGAATGGAGTCAGCACTGAACATGACTGCAAAGCACATCCTGAATAAGGCAAAAATGCTAATGGGGACCTATCACAAGGATAGATTAATGCAGCACATCTAAATAAGACATATGGTAGTGCCCATTAAGTGCAGTCTGCCTCCCTGCCAACTCTTTTTCCAGGTCATGGTGAGCCACAACATTGCATGAATTTTGACATCATCATTTCCACAGCTGATCTGAGTCTTTCTTTCCCATTTCCAATTATTCCTGTTTCTTATCAGTAACCTTTAATACCCGGCAAGCATCACAAAATAGGGACCCAAACAGTTCACCCAGAATCCCTTTGTTGCCCTTCTCTCTCAGCCTTGTGCATATGCGTACTGTGGCCCTGCCCTCCATGACGTGGAGCTGGGCCAGGATACCCTGTGTCTTATCTGCATATATTTTTTCGAGCATCCCAGGACTTGACAAGAACACGCAGCTCCAGTCATGAGTTGGGGGCTAACTAGCACCTGTATCCTTTGTGGGGAGTATCTGGAAACACATACTGAGCAGTGATGAGCTATGGGGTAATCATAGCTTGACATACTGTCGACTCTGGTGGGGCCCAGCCCAATGAACTGTGTGGTAAATCACAAGCCTTTGGCTTTGAACTAATATCTTGCATAGTTTATACTCTATATGAGTAGGGACAAACATGCTGCTTAAAGGTGCAGATAGAAGTGCAGCTCCCAGCTGTAAATCGGAAGGATTTTTGCAAAGCGTTCTGAGTTACAACATTAGCCCTACAACATTAGCCCAAAGCAAACAGAAATTCACTGTTGTTTCTAGGGGAAGGGGAATCTAGCAGCAGACTTAAGGTCAGCAGCCAGGTTCCCACAGAAAGGGCCAGGGCTCTCTGCCAGTGCTTGCTGTTTTCAGACTGGGACGGGGGAAAGGCAGTAGAGGAAGCTCCTTCTTGGGGCTCCCCAACTGATGCTGAAGGGTGGGGTGGGTGAATTGGATCCCCCCCACCCCCACCTTGCAGGGGCTACATTACACCTGCCCCACCCTCCTGGGGGAGCTGAAACCCTCCCAGACAGAACTCCCTCTGCTCCCTTTCCCCCCTCCCAGTCTGAAAACAGTGAGAGGCTGGGAGCTCCTCAGACACAAATGACAAAAGACGCTACATTTTGTAACATCTTCCTCTGATACCTCATGCAAGGAATGGTTAGATTTGCACCCAGTCAGCCATTTTGAAGCTGTTTGCAGCTGTTAACTTGTGTTTGGTCACAGCTATAAGCTGCTTTCTGTGGCCAGATCAGGCAAAAACGGCCACCTCTTTCTGCCTCTTAAAAATGTATTTATGGAGGTACTTGTGCTAAAACTTGCAACAGTTTCAAAATCAGGTAGCATGCATCAATTCTGGATGCACTAAGTGCATGGGTACTATATGTACATTGCTACAGCCATGTTTAACTTCAAGGTTTTTGTTTTCAAACATGCTCCTCACTTCCATATACTCACGGAGTGCAGGGTCTGACAATATGGACAGGGGAAATGGGCTCCTAAGGGAAAATGTTGGGGGGAAACAGAGAGCAAAGGGGCCACCTAACTTCCCCCCTCCCCCCCACCATCCCCAGCCATTTATTCTCCCTGCTGTAGTAGTGAGAGAGGGACAAATTCAAGGCATACCTCCAATAATTAGATGCTGTACCTGGAAAAGTATAACAAATTTATAAATTGTCTACATATAAAATCCAATTATTGGGGTGTTGTCCTATATTTGCATAAAAACAGTAATTGAACCTTCATTTGTAGTACTTCCCTTGTCTTGGTTTTCAACATTTTCTTCTCATCTAATAGGGTTGGGTCTGTGTTGCAGCTTCAATCCAAGAAACGTGAGAAACAAGACTTTTCCTGGTGATATCTTTCATTGGGCCAGCTCTATAGTTGAAAGAGTCGTTCAACGTTTCTGCTCTCGCATTGTGCCCTTCCTCATCTAATGGCATTTAACAGCCACCTTTATGATTTAATTCTTGTCCTTCTAGACCCATTGAGACTTTAGAAGCCACTGTTGCAAATGTCACTACCCCACTCTTGAAAAGTTGATTTAAAAACGGATCATAGAAAATGAGAGTAGAAAGGGATCTCAGGAGGTCACATCTAGTCCAACCCCCTGCTCAAGGCAGGACTAGCCTCAACTAAATCCTCCCAGGTCAGGCTTTGTCTAGTCAGGCCTTAAGAACCCCCAAGGATGGAGAGTGACCCACCTCTCTGGGTAACCTGTCTCAGTGCTTCACTACCCTTCTAGTGAGATTTTGTTTTTTTTAAGCTCTAACCTAAACTTCCCTTGCTGCAACTTGAAATATGATGCTTTTCAACTAGTACAGTGTAGGTCTCTGGTAAAAATGACCCATTTTGTCCTAGTCCTACATCACTGAGCATCTAGGCAGGCAGATTTCAGAGTAGGTAAGCAAGGGTGGCTAAAGGCAAGGCAAGGGAGCATTTTCCTGAGATTAGGATGGTGATTTGGGACGTGGTAGAAGTAAGCCCATTGTCATCCTCTGCTATGGATTTTGTGTATGAAATTGGCCAAGTCTGTCTCTCAGTAAGTTACTGAGGCCCTGTGGTACCAGGGACCAGAGGAGTGCTCATGAGACAAGTGATGCATTTGTAAAGCATGTGAATTCATTCATGCAGGTGCCAGGTAATTTCCCCTATTTTCTGTCCATTGAATTGAGATAGCTTAAACTGCTGTGACTCCCAGCTCAATGAATGCTAGAGTAGAAATAGTCTCTAAGCAATTCTTCCCCTTTGTTACTTCACAGATTTTGGCTTGCAGGTTTTCTTGTGCCTCTGTAACAAGGAAATGTGTTTCCCAGTTTTCCCTTTGTTGGCAGTTCCTCTCGCTTTTTTTTCCACATGCGCCTACTGTGGAACGATGTACATGCACTGAGAACAGATAGCCTGGTGTTTCAGTCACAGCTTTGATCCCCTTGACACATTTTTTTCTCTCCTGAGAACCCTAAAAATCATCCTGAAGCCTTGGTCCCTGAAATTATGAGTATTTGTAATAGCTGCACAAGAAAAACAATGCATTTGTTCCTCCCTGTGGGGGCGTAACCCCCCCTGGAGAATCGATGGATATTGTAACGAGTTTAATGAGAAGACAGATCCTCACGTACAGCATCAGCCTCGGGAGTTTAAAAGGCTCCTGTTAAGATAAGGTACCATTCTTTTACTATGTAGAGATTTTTTCTTTTAGCCGAGTTGTAAGCCAACCGAGTCAGCTTTCTTTGTTTTTCTACTGCCAAGCTTTCCTGCTAGTGCCATTCCCTTAAAGCAGTCAGATAATGCTAATGAAATTTTTGCTGAGATGATAAAGAGAAGTTATTCTGAGTACTGCAATGTCATTCCTTAAGAGGCACAGATATAAGCAATATCTCTCACTCTCCCCTTTTGTTCTGAACAAGAGCTCACTAGAGGCAAATAAATGACTTGTTGAATCACAGTTCTACTGTTGGAGCAGCTGCCCCCGTGACAACTCCATGTGCTGTTTACCTGGCAAATCACCACTTATTGAGGAATGCAGTGAAATGCAGACGTTCTTAAGAATGCCATTAGTGGCTTTTTTCT